AGTCTTGTGTTCAAGAAGATGGTCAGTAATTCGGATGGAAGCACCAATGTTGTATTGGAGGGTAACGACAAATTCATGTCTCCCTATTGAAGGCTGGTTCCTGGGAGTTTCAAGGTCTTTACGGACTTTGAGGAAAATGGCTGAGCCCAGAATTACTGAAGTACTTGAATTGGATCCGCTGTGCAAAGCGCTGTAAAGTAGGGCTGTCGGCAGCAGGTACCCACGTAAAACACTTTCATCTTTACCTTTGCCTGTGTAAGTGATGCTCGTCTTGAATGTTTGTGTACGTGCACCTTTAAGATGTTGGTATTTCGAATGGCCATAATTAGACGAAAACCTATAAAGTATATAAATAAGACGCAAATTAAGATATAAAAGTAGACTGAAAATATTTTAAAAATGGGCGTAGCCAGTACCTCTAATGGGAGTAATAAAGATATCCATAAATTAAACGTGCCACTTGAGCGAATCGGTACATTCATCTTTCCTCGTCGTCCGCAAAAAACCAATTTGGGCGAGAAAAGTCTTGTCTCAATGTTTTTTTATATTGTCTGATAGAAATCGGGAAGTCTATAAACTTAGACCACCACAGTATTTTAAAAAACTTAAACGGTATGCCTAATTTGAAAGCAAACAAGTTTAGTTTAAGATAAAAAGAATAAAGCAGATAAGCAAAAAGAGCAGTTTGCTATTTAGAGTTTGATGTTTATAGGACTTTTTAGGATGCTTCAAACGAATACAGCATTAATTGATACTAGTTCCGATTTGTGTTTAATTCAGAACGGTGCTTTTTCGACTGTTCAATCACGAGCATTCAAATTCGATTGTGTCGTAACACTCTTTACAAACGTGTTCCATCGAGTTTGGAAGTTTTGGAGTTTTTAGGCCCTATTTTTTTTTATTTTTCGCACAAAACATTCGTTAATTAAATAGATATCTTTTTGTAAATAAAATTGTATTCGAACTGAATCCTTTGCGGTCAAATTGAAAATTTCAGTCATTTCATCTACTTCTCTGTTATGTCTTTCTACATCGTCTTTAGGTTTTTCTTTGGTATTTTAGCCAGAAGGCTTAAGTAAATTTGACAAAAAAGAATAGATAATTACTTTAATACAAAATCAAAGCTAGAAAACTTGAATGACTTTGATCTAAGTCGCTTTCATTAAAAGAAATACGTGTTTACCGTTAATAACACGGAGGATGGTTGCGTAAAAGTTGGTGCATTATATGGAATTTGAGATATGCAAAAATTCTAATAATTTGCATGTTTATAGCAGGCGGGTACACAAAGCATGAAGCTTTATGTCACAAACTTCGATTGGCAACACAGACTTTGTCAATTCTTTTAATGTTCGCTTTTAACACTGATATTGCAGCTATATCATAAATATTGACCTTTGTATGGGAGGTGGGCGTGGTTATTATCCGATTTCTTCCGTTTTTGAACTGTATATGGAAATGCCTAAAAGAAACGACTCTATACAGTTTGGTTGACATAGATATAGTAGTTTTCGAGATATGTACAAAAAAGTTAGTAGGGGGCGGGGCCACGCCCACTTTTCCAAGAAAATTACGTCCACATATGCCCCTCCCTAATGGGATCCTTTGCGCCAAATTTCATTTTAATATCTTTATTTATAGCTTAGTTATGACACTTTATAGGTTTTCGGTTTCCGCCATTTGTGGGCGTGGCAGTGGGCCGATTTTGCCCATCATCGAACTTAACCTCCTTATGGAGCCAAGAAATACGTGTACCAAGTTTGATCATGATATCTCAATTTTTACTCAAGTTACAGCTTGCACGGACGGACGGACGGACAGACAGACATCCGGATTTCAACTCTACTCGTCACCCTGATCACTTTGGTATATATAACCCTATATCTGACTCTTTTAGTTTTAGGACTTACAAACAACCGTTATGTGAACAAAACTATAATACTCTCTTTAGCAACTTTGTTGCGAGAGTATAATAATAAAAATTACTAATGCAAATATTGTTCACACTCAAATGCAACTCGATCGCATTCAATTAGCTCGGGTGTGGAGTGCAGCTTGCTTGTGAATGTACGTTTGCAACCTCCAGTTGTCAAAACTTGTATTCGTCTTAAAAATTTGATTCAACAAAAATCTGAGTGCTTAGTCGGTTGTGCACGAACATTATGTATCCCTTGCAACTCTCTGGTACTTACTATTTAGAATTCGTAATTCACTAACATTGTTTTCAAGAATCCTCCCAAGGAGCTGAATGTAGTTCCCTCGGTTATTGAATGATACATAATTAAAGTCGCTTCTCCATCAAGAAAATGCAAGACGTCGTCGAAAGTATCTTATAGTAGAAAAGTGCATAGAATATTTGATAAACGAAAACAGAAATGGCTTAATTCAAAAAATAATGAAAATTGTCCACTAACACATTGATAAAGTCGGGCCCATGGAAATGTCGAACATATTATTATATATAATTATTTACTGCTGGCTTCCTGATTTCCTAAATTTATTTGGCTTTTAATAAGTCGTTTCTGTTCTCAGTGTTGTTCAACATTCATCGAATGTAATTACCTAATGGCTAATACCCAGATACTACACGTAAAAAACCACAGACACAGATTAATTCCTTTAAATATAGCATTATTCTGTGCAATATTTAAATAATATTTGTCAGCTATTATGCACTAATCTCAATCATCTTTATGATTCAACTTTTTCGTGTTCAGGTACAACTATATGCTGTGAGTGTCAAAAATAAGTAAAGAGCAATTCTATCAACATTGAAGTGTTTATTACAACGCAGTTTTTAATACAATAATAAAAAGTTTTATTATAGAATTCAAGGCTTAGATGGTTGTCAAAAAAATCTTGCGGTATTTTCGCTAGTTGGCGCAGAGAGTGCGTAGTTCTAGTTTTGTTCGTCGCATCGGGTCTTCCGGAGCGTGGCGCCTGTCGTCGAAAATTGCGATAAAATCGCTGAATTGGTCGAAAGAGACCGGCATAGTAGCAGCCGTTGCATCGGTCAAGAGCTGAGCATGAGTCATCAAAAAAAATTTTATGAACAATTGAAAATTCAATAAAAATACCGCAAGAAATACCGCATGGCTTTTTTAACATATTGTTATTATCAAACCATTATTTAGGTCGTCCTTGCTTGAAATGTCCTTCTTCCTGATTTTTCGGTCAAGGTGCTCCCACAGATGCTCGATAGGATTATTGTCTGGGTTCTGTGGAGGGTTATCCAGAGTTTTGGTGTTCAGTATAACAGCCACTCACTAACAATTTTGGACTTGTGATTAGAATCATTGTCAGGTTGAAAGATCCTGTTTCCTGATAGGCCTAATTTTTCAATGCTTTTAGCAACGTTATTTTTTAAAATGTCGAAATAATCCAATTTATTAATGGTGGACTCAATAAAAACCAAATTGCCAACACCAGATGCTGCCATACAACCTCAGACCATAAGCGATCCTCCGTGCTTTACGGTATGGGTAACACACTTATCAGTAAAGGCTTTATTTATGGATCTCCACATTTTGGGAAATTTTTTTTATTCAATTATTTCGAATTTACTTTCGTCCGTATAAAAAAAAAATTTCCCAGAAGTTTTCAGCCTGATTTGTATACTTTTTTGCAAATTTCAAGTTCATCTGTTGAACCGCTTTTGTGCGAAGTTCTCCTGATTGTACTGGCACTTACTGGTTTACTCGATGTCTTTGCTATATCTTTAGTTATTTGAACTGCGTTTGCAGCTAAATTTGTTTTTACATTCCGTCCTATTTATCACGCTTCAGTATCAGTAAGGCGCTTTGGTCGGCCCGGTCGTGACAAATTTTCAACAGTCTGATGTTTACCATGTTTATCAATAATTTTTTTATTATCTTCCAACTAGTTTTCTGATTTCGCCCAAAGATTTACCTTTTTTATGCAAATTTAATAAAAATGTTTAACCGTTTCATTGGTTGTTTGCTTACAAATTACAAATTTTAACATAACCTCAAAAGAACACAATAATGATATAAAAAAATATGTTTTACTACACTCACTCTCTTGAATAGTAATGGTTTCCAAAGGATATTTGGCGCTTCCCCGAAAAAAGTATTAAAACACACAACGGTTGTTGCCACTGTTTAATTTTTTTGACGCAAAAATACGTGTTTTTAGTTTATGTGAATTATTTTAGCTCATTATTAATACTAAGTTAATCTCTTATAATATAAGCTTTGAATTCTATAATAAAACTTTTTATACTCTCGCAAAAAGTTGCTAAGGAGAGTATTATAGTTTTGTTCACATAACGGTTGTTTGTAAGTCCTAAAACTAAAAGAGTCAGATATAGGGTTATATATACCAAAGTGATCAGGGTGACGAGTAGAGCTGAAATCCGGATGTCTGTCTGTCCGTCCGTCCGTTCGTGCAAGCTGTAACTTGAGTAAAAATTGAGATATCATGATGAAACTTGGTACACGTATTTTTTATTATGGACCAAAAACCATATTTCAGGAACTACTCGACCGATTTCAATGAAATTCGGTATATAATATTTTCTTAATACCCTGATGATATGAAATATGGGTGAAATCGGTTCACAACCACGCCTTCTTCCAATATAACGCTATTATGAATTCCATCTGATGCCTTCTCTGTATAATATACACATTAGGAACCAATGATTAAGTGAAATTGTAGGTACTAACAATTTTCATATGGTGCTTTTGAAAAAAAAGCAATATAGATGAAATAAAAATTCAGTCCTCCACTGATAAAAAGTTTTATGAAAATCGTTAAATTTTTGTCAAAGAAAAATAAGAACTATTATTCGTATCAACTGAAGAGCTCTAAGGGCCGAGTCTCTATTTTGGCTGCTGAGAGAGAGCCTCGCAATGGCGTATATCTCTGAGGTATGGAGGACAGCGAAGGTGATCTTCATACCTAAGGTAGGAAGGAAAGACTACTCGTTGGCGAAATCATTCAGACCGATAAGTCTAACGTCCTTCCTACTGAAAACCATGGAGAAGATCGTGGATCAAGAAATAAGGATGAAGGCGCTAAAGAGTTCACCGCTGCATGCGRCTCAACATGCCTACAGAGCGGGCAGATCTACCAGCACTGCTCTGTACCAGATGGCCTCTGAAATAGAGAGTTCACTGGAGCATGGGGAGATGATGCTCTGCGTGTTCCTGGACATCGAAGGTGCCTTTGATAACACGTCCCACAAGAGTGTAGCAAGGGCACTGGAGAAAAGGAATGTGGCGGCACCAGTGCTTAGCTGGATAGAAGCCGTACTGCGCTCAAGGGTTGCTGAGACCACAGTAGGTGATAGCAGTATTCGTCTCGGCACAACAAGAGTCTGTCCACAGGGGGGTGTGTTATCACCCCTGCTATGGAGTCTAGTTGTGGACGAACTGCTGACACTGCTAATGACGACATTGTCATTATGGCAAGAAGGAAATTTGAAAACACTCTTTGTGACTTGATCCAAAGAGGTCTCAACCTAGAGAAGGGATGGTGTAGGGAGGTTGAACTAAATATCAACCCCACCAAGACATCTGTAATCCCATTTACGAGACGCAGGACCCTACCCGGCCTTAGGAATCTCCTACTGGCGCGTAGTGAAATAGGGATGACCAACAGTGTTTAATACCTCGGTTTAACGTTAGACTCCACGCTGAGGTATAAGCAGTACGTAAACCTGACATTGATCAAGGCGACAAAGGCCTTAATGGTGTGTAATCGACTGGCAGGAAGTTCCTGGGGTTTAACGTCAAGGATAGTTAGATGGTTGTACACCATGATAGTAAGACCGATAATCACATATGGGGCGGTAGCCTGGGCCTCAGCCTCGCAAACAGCGGTTAGGACAAAACTACTGAAGCTGCAGAGGCTGGCCTGTGTCTGCACGACGGGCGCAATGCGAACCTGGAGGTTCTTCTTGAACTTACTCCGCTTCATTTAGTCATCGGTCTGGTAGCCAAACACACTCTTCTGCAAATAATGGCAGAAGGGTGTGGAAAAGGAAAAATAGTCTCATCCCAGAGGATGGAGAGGATAAGTGGCAAGTTACCACTGGTCCTCCTCCCGAGGGATAGTACTACTAAAAAGGTTAACCTCAGAAGAGGTTTAAGGTTGCCCTCGGCAGCAAAGACGATTGGAACGACTCCAACCTCGAGCGGATGTTGAGGAACAGTACTATGAGGTGGTACACAGATGGCTCTAAAATGTCGAAAAGAATCGGCGCAGGGATTGTGGGCCCACGCACTAGGCTCCCAGTACCCATGGGTGAGTTCCCGAGCATTTTCCAGGCAGAGGTGTATGCTATAAGCCGGTGCATAGAAATAAACCTCCATCGCAACTATCGCAATGAGCGTATAGCCTTTCTTAGCGATAGTCAAGCGGCGCTAAAGGCGATCTCCTCTTACGAGATGAAGTCGGTTCTAGTGCAGGACTGCAGGGAGAGGCTGAATAGCCTTGCGGAAAGAAACCAGGTACACCTGATTGAGTGCTTCTCAATTGCCTACTCAGTCCGAAGTAGCACCTGTTGGCAAGAGTTATCCTGCGTTGGATTTCTAGGCTGACATTGTTGGTGGTGTTTACGCTGGTTCCAAGATAGACGAACGAGGTCACATTGTTATTGAGTACAAAATAAATATAGGAGAAGATATTGACGAAAGCATAAGAGAAATATATGATATACAGGGGTGTTGTGGAATCTGATAGTTGTCGGAATCCGAATTGAAACCGATCAAAAAAAGTAGTAGGTGCCGTGAATTCAGATATTATTGGTTTGATATTCGAAACAAAATTTGTATCGGTTGTGGGTGTCACGGAAACCAATTTTATCGGTTTTGCTATCAGAATCAAAGCAAGAAGATAGTCGCTCACAGATTTGAAATGTAAGTTAAGAAATCAAGTTATTTTATTATTTCGAATAAATTTATCTTTATTTCTATAGGGGAAAACATAAGTATAAAACACGAAATGTCCTAATTATTGAGCCTTTTTATAGCGGCTTAGAAAAATCGAAATTTCTAGGATTTATAGTTATATATTTAAACATCATCCGCAAATTTGTTTTATACGAAATATTTTAAGTTTGCCTTTGAAAAGCAATTGCCAGATGCTTATCGTATGTGCATATACCAGACGGCGGGTAAAAAATTCAAAGAGATTTATATTTTTTAATAATTTATGTTCAAGTTAAACTGGGAAAATATCAAAAAAAAAGTGTAAAATCCTAAAATATTTTAAGATTTGAAAAGGAGTGGATTTTGTCTACTGTAAGCATAATTTAAATTTTCTTGGTATATTTCAGTTTATATAGAGAATAATTTAATGCCAAAGATAATAAACTTTGCCCCTATTCCATACGACGTTTAGTTTTTTTTTATCTTGCCTGCCAATTAAGAAAAATCGTAAAGTTTAAAAACCGAGAAATCGCGCGCCAAAGTTTTCGTTTTCTGCCCAAGCGCTCATATATGTATCTGCTGGACGTTCGGTCACTATTTCCCTTCTAGCTTCGACAATATTTCAAATTCCCATCTATAACTTTGGAGTAATATTCTTAGATAATATTTTAAAGAGATTTAAGTAAAGAAAAATTAAATTTTTAAAGCTACTAAAGCAGGTTTCCCTCTTAAAGAAGATTTACAAAACGTAATGAACGTAATTTAACATAAAAATGCGTCTTTATTCATTCGATAAATGTTATCTCTTAAAATCTTTTTTTAATTCGGAACTCATTAAAATTTTTAATAGGATTGCTTCCAAATGTATTTATTTACAAGTTTTGCTCATTAGTAAACAGCTGGTTCGATTACTGGTTTTGCGTATGTTCGAAAAGGCGAAAATCCAATCAGATTCTGTGACACCATTTAAAATCAGAATTGGTTTACAATTCTGACAGCTAAGCAGTTCTGTCGTGGATTCCACAACACCCCTGATAATAACCAGTTGCTAAGACAACACAAAACAAAAACTATAAGCCGCTTGGACCCAGAAAAATCACTAATAGAGAAATAAAAAAGCTTGTAAATGGAAAAAGGCGTGCAAGACGTGAATGGCAGATGAATAACTCCCCTTCCACTCAGCTTCAATTAAAATATGCTGTACGTAAATTAAAAATAGCACGGGAGGAAGAATTGAACACCGAAATGTATATAAAGAAGCTATGTCCAAATTCAAACAAGCAAAATTCCGTTTGGAAAGCCCAAAAGTCCATGAAGCCACCAACTGACTCCAACATGCCTATACGAGACTTACGTGGAAATTGAGCTCGAAGTGAAGAGGAAAAGGGTAATTGTTTAGAAAATCACCTAGAAAATGTATTTCAACCTAACTTGCCAAAGAACAACTTTAAGCTTTCAATCTTACCCAACACAGCTAAAGAGTCGCTCGAGTCTTTTAAGACTTCACTTTCTGAAATTATTGGAATCATCAAAGAACTTAATCCAAAAAATTTGCCGGGACATGATAATATTTCCCCAAAAATTCTAATTGAGTTGCCAATTATTGGAAAAAGTAGCGATTATCTTGATAGATAAACCTAGGAAAGACTTAACACAACCGTCTTCATACAGACCAATCAGTCTTCTCTGCGGTCATAAATACAATCTTTCTAAAATATTTGCAAAAGTTTTACTATCAAAGATGTCTCCTTTCCAATGCATCAATTTGGATTTCTTGCGAAACATTGCACAGTAGAGCAAGTAAACAGAATTACTAACGAAATAAGGAAACATTAGAGCACAGGGAGTACTGTTCTGCAATATTTCTAGATGCAGCTCAGGAGTTTGATAAGGTGTGCCACGAAGGCCTTTTATATAAGTGTATCGGCAGAGCAATCCCTTCTTGAAGTTTTAATTCAAATGCAACTAAACATTAACTAGTAAAAAGTTGCGATCTTTCTCTTCTTTTGCGACAGCTCAACCGATCCAGACGTGGTAAGCGCGTTTCCAAAATATTATATTAAATTATTTTTATTATATGAAAACTTTTGTTTTTTATTCAGTATTTGTGTGGAATCATTTACGTCGTCTATTTCCTTACGGCCAACCACAAAAACGAAACGAGCCACACCGTGCTCCACCCGAATTATCAATAATATTAAAAATATTATACCTTAAGAATTGTATAAAACATTGGAGTCTTTGGATTGGATTTATGGTGAAAGTAGGAGACTTCATATCTGATGAAAGACAAATAAGGGCTGGTGTATCACAGGACAGTGTTTTAGGCTCAACTCTATACATCATATATACAGCAGATCGTCCAACAACTAACAATGTATTAACTTCAACTTTTGCGTATGACACAGTTATAGTGAGCCGTAACAACTGCAACATTTTAGCATCAAGAATATTAGCGGAGCATTTAAGTGCTGTCGAAGAATGGCTAGCCAACTGGCGTATAAATGTGAATGAACAAAATTGTAGGAATGTTACGTTTTCATTTGGTCCAAAAATGTGCCCGGCAGTAAGAATCAACAATATTTTAGTACCCCAATCGAATGAAGTAACTTATCTTGGTAGTCACCTAAATAGACGATATCTAGTAAAATAACTTGCATGAAGATAAGAGCTGCAAATTTAAATTGGCTTTTAAATAAAAACTCTAAACTTAGCTTAGACAACTAAGTGCTTTGTATGTATGTATTTGGATGTATGGCATCCAATTGGGGGGTACGACCTGTGCAATTAGTATTGATATAATACAAAGGTTCCAGTCGAAAATGCTTAGAACAATTACGTGTTAGCCATGGTACATGCGTAACAAAAATATCCATAAAGACTTTGGTATTTGTATAGAAAAGAAAGAAGTAGAAAACAGCAGAACTAAATATATATCTAATTTTCGCGAGAAGAAATATGCCTGCGTATTAAAGAGCAACGTATCACTAAAATAGCTCAATCACTTCCTTGAGCCTTTCTAGTTTTTAAATAGATTTAAGATTTTATAACTTATTATTAGGCTTGAAGAAAAGTAGATCAAATAAATACAATCATATTGAAAAAAAAAAACTATATATGTGACCTGGTCTACGAAAAGGGAGCTAACGTGCGAAAACTAGTTTATGACTTTTTGGATTCTATCACGCGAATCAACTAAAATTTTTTGACACCTAAGCCCCCTTTCCGTAGACCAGGTCACATATATATATTCATATAGATGTGTATGTAGACAAAAACTACTGTACCCTGCCAGTAGTTGCCTAATGTTATTTTGGTTTTTGAAGTAAAAAAATATTCAAATGATGAAAACATGCTTATGATTTGGAATATATATTTTTTTATCTATGACTAGCTGATCCCGCAGCCGTTGTCCTGCGTGAAACAATGCGACTATCCTTGTGTCCTGTTTATTGTCATCTCAAATACAATTTTCACTGGAAACGGAATGCCTTTGAACTGAAATGACAAATCGTTAGAACTCATAGGAGTTCGTAGAATCAATCGTTATGTCCCCTTGCATTCGATAGGTG